TTCAAAAAAAATCGACCTCTTCTTCCACCCACTCGTGACAAGTCTATGTGCAAAAGGCTTGCCAAACTCAGTACTCACATCTTTCACCTTTTCAAAAATCTGATCACCTGTCAACATATGTGGAGCTCTACCGTGTTCTGCCTCTCCATTGAATGCCTTTCTCCACCCACGATAGTGATGATTAGAATTTAAGAATCTACGATGACCGAGAAAAACATTCTTCTGACAAAAGTTCAATCGCATCGTATCGGTTTCATCTTCACAAACAGGACACGCTTTTTGACCCTTAATGTTGTACCCTGATAGATTTCCGTACGCCGGAAAATCATTAATTGTTCCAAACAACATCGCCCTCAAGTTGAAACTTTCTTTCCTATACCCATCGTAAACCTCCACACCGGTCTCCCACAAAAACTTCAAATCTTCGACTAAGGGTGCCAAGTACACGTCTATGTCATTCCCTGGTTGTTTGGGCCCAGAAATTAACATAGATAGCATCATGTACTTACGCTTCATACATAGCCACGGAGGTAGGTTATATATCATAAGAATCACAGGCCAGGTGCTATGCGAGATACTTTGAATACCATGCGGGTTCATTCCATCAGTAGACAACGACAAGCGAAGATTTCTTGCTTCTTTTCCAAATTCAGGATAATCAATATCAACTTTCGTCCACTGTGGTGAGTCTGCCGGATGTCGCAACTTCCCATCAATAATTCTTTCATCTGCATGCCAAGTCAAGTGTCTTGAATCGGTCTCACTACGATACATGCGCCTAAATCTCAGAATTATAGGAAAATACCATAACACCTTTTCCGGAGACAACTTTTCCTTATATCGAGGGGCACCGCATTTAGGACACTCATTTAACATTGCGTACTCGTTTCGAAATAAAACGCAATCTTTTGGACATGCATGTATCTTTTCATAGCTCATGCCAATAGAGGACAACATCTTTTTGGCCTCATACGTTCGATTGGGAAGAACATTATCCTCTGGTAGCATTTCTTTCACGAGGGCTAATAACTGTGTGAAACTTTTATCCGACCATCCGTTGTCCGCCTTTAAGTTGTACAACTTTAACACCGCAGACAATCTTGTGAATTTTGTACAACCATCATACAACGGTTTCTCTGCATCGCTTACCAACCTCTCGAACATTTTGGGACAATCCTCAAGATCTTCTTCAAGCGCTTCTGCAATCTCTTCGACTCGATCATAATCGTATACGTCTGCGAAATCCTCATTTGAAGCATACGTCGTATTATAACTCGATTCAACATTCCCGCTACTTTTCTCACCATGCAAATTCCAACATGCATAACTTCTATCAATTCCATGCATCAGTAAATGCGATTCCAACTGAACCGCGTCAACCCGTCTCCCATAACAGCATCTCAAGCAAGGACATATCATTCCATTGGGTTCTCTGGCGTGCGCAACGGCAAACTTAACGAATTCTGATACCCCATCCTCATACTCTTTCGACAATCGATTGGCAGTCATCCATTTTTTATCCATGGTTTGACTATAGCAACTAATTAGTCACGCAACTATAGCAAAATAATAATTAATTACCTGTAAAGAAATTCAACATATCAGGTAATCAAATTCATAGTTATTCTTGCCTCACCTTAAGCATGTGCTAAACAACTCATAACTAATTACTAACTAGTGAAGTCGGATATAAACAAAAACACAACCGCAGCTCATGAATTCCACTCAACTATAATCATTAGAAATTCACACTGAGCCGGAAAATAAAAGTAAAAACAATCAGTTATTCAAGTCAGTTCAAGAATAGGATAGAAACCTTTGAAAATGTTGAGAGCGTCCCGCGTACACTACGATCAAGGACAGTTCGAATTTCTTCAATCGGAGAAAGTTTCACAGCTTTTTCCTACCACAATCGATATTAAATCGTTGAACTATCCGCTGCATGATTTGAATGTAAACAACATGTTAAACTTAGGAGTAACTAAAAACAAAACATTTTCATTGACAATACAGATCACATTCCCTTATTTGTTTCCACCATACTAGTAAGCAAATGACGAATGGCAGCAACGCAAGGTTCTTTCAGCCACCTTTTTGTCCAACTGTTGTATAAGAAAAGTATGTTAATTAATTGGAATGTAAGCTTACTAGATAGATTTCTGTACATGTTGAAGAAGTTACCTCTAGTTCGTTTGCAATTATATCAACATCTGCTGCATTTATCTTAACAGCAGCTAATTCTTTCTCCCTGTGATTCAATCAAAATTCATACTAAGGTTCAGAGAGAGAAGAAAAACAAATCATAAATGCAGGATAAATGAGAGTGACAATGGAGCTTTCAATTTTTATATACATAATAAATTCCCGGGTCTTTTTAATTTCACTTATGTAAAAATTAAAACTTCAGAACTACACATATATTTTACTTGATATTTCTATTAGTAATACAAAAATTATATTTCAACATATACACCAGAACAACAGAAAAGAGTTTCAACACTCTTATAATAATTGAAGTAACATTTAAAGATTCACTTAAATAAGACCAAATATATCATCAACATTTATCACCATTTTTCAAAAAATGCACAAAAACTTTCAACACAAATCTGCTACACCTTGACTCACCTTGACACCGAAAAGCAAAACATTAAACATTACACTAGAATTTTAAATACAATATTGCTCCAATTTGACATTAGGCATCAGGGTGCATCACATTTTCAAAACTATTACATCTTACTATCAGATTATTAAAATATATCATGTCATTTTCAAAACTATTACATGCTTTGTATTATCCATGTGATCGATCATATTTGTCTCACTTTCACATTAAAACCAAGAGGTAAAATCTTCAAGCAACACTCTAATAGAAACTGAAGTAACATTTGAAGATTCACTTAAGTAACACCTAAAATATCATCACTTCAATTAGCAATTGGATCATAAATAATCTTCAAGAAGTTTGTCATGACTGTTTCATTTCATGCTAGAAGTATATAATCTTTCTTTGGAGTGTTTTCAAATTCATAATCCTTGAACCATAAGTTTATAATAATGGCAGAAGCATGAGAATATTACAAAATATCATCATTTCAAACTCATAATTACAACTCAGGTTACCTTTAAACAATAACTTAAGCGTCTAAAATGATGGAATTTGGAAAAACCCAACTCTTTCTTAGAGTGTTTACAAATTCTTAATTTTTGCACTTTTACCTTATAATGGTGGCAGAAGCATCACAAAAAATTCCATTAAAATAAGCCACATTTCAAATTCCAAATATTGACACCATTACCTTAAAATGATTGCAGAAACAAGTAATACAAAATATTCCATTGAAAACTGCAGACAAGATTCAACAAATTCTTTCTCCAAAGAATGACTAATTTCTCTAACAGGGTTGCAACTAAGAGTTACATGAGATCTATTTTCTAGCCTCATAATCTTAAACCTAATAGAGTTCACTAACTCATTATAACATTAAACACATGCATATTGATTTACATATACAGTTGCGTATGTAAAGTAAACCAAGAATTAAAGCAAAGAATCTTACCAAGGTGGAGAAGACGGAATGACCGGCGGCGGCGACGACTGAAGAGGAAGGAACGAACGGCGGCGACGACGACTGAAGAGGAAGGAACGAACGGCGGCGACGGCAGAAATGAAGAAATGAAGAAATGAAGAAGCTCTGAACGAAAGAAATGAAGAAGATTTAGGGATTTTTAATTTTATTATAAAAACAACCTACGAAAGCGCTTTTAAAAAGCGCTGGCATAGGTCCCCCTTTCAAAGCGCTTCTGAGGTAAAAAGCGCTTTCGTAGGTCCTCCTTTCAAAGCGCTTTTCAAAAGCGCTGGCATAGGGTTCCCTACCAAAGCGCTTTTCAAAAGCGCTTTCGTAGGTTAGATATTTCAAATACCTATGAAAGCGCTTTCTGAAAAGCGCTTTGGTAGGGAACCCTATGCCAGCGCTTTTAAAAAAGCGCCTTCGTAGGTTTCCCTTTTTTTTAATTTTGTTTTTTGTGAAGGCTATGGCAGCGCTTTTTCAATAAGCGCTTTAGTAGAGGCGCTGCTAAAACTTGTTTTTGGCGTAGTGCATGGTTGACAAATCTCTTGAATTGGTTGATTCTCCCAGTAGGCTTATGCAAAAGGATATGTAGCTCTTTTGAGGGTTGTTCGAGTCCTCTGTATAAATGCATTTTCACTAGGTTAGAGATGCACTTGCCCTTTTCTGATTTCGAAGTGACCGTCCTCGGCCATTTGAATGTTTCCCCTTAGCAACTTCATCTTAGAGTATGTAGTTTTATAAAGATGTTTCAATTCTATGCCAAGTACAAATTTTGAAAATCTTTCTTAAAACTCTTTTTCAATATTTTTTCTGTAGCTTTTTTTCGACCTCTTTTATGTAGCACATACTTCATAATTTATTTATTTTCTTTCATTATGACATATCAGTAATTATATGAATTTTTATAAGGTGTAAAATTTTGAATCTTATACCATTTACTCTTTCTGAAATAGTGTAAAATTTTGAATCTTCACATACCATATACTTTTTTTTGAACTTAATAATATTAATAGGTTGACGTTTAAATCAATAATAAAACATTTAAATTCGATATAAAAATATGAACAATCTATGTCGACAAAAAGTATAAAAAAATCAATGAATCATTTGGAAAAATTCAAGTTCGATTTTCAGTTAAAATAAAGTAAAAATAATACTCGATTAAACCATATTTACCTTACAATTGAATTCTGAAAAGAAAAAAAAACCCGAAAGAATATTATTTAGTTTCCCTCTTAAAATGGTCAAAAAGCGGCTTAGGTGTAGAATTCTTGAAAATTTGCATTTTAGAGTTGGTGGAACAACGTTACCGATAGTCGTTAACACGGATATTGACTTTCACCATTTTTTTCTGATAACACATTTTACCAAATCATCGCATGATTTCAACAATTTCCTTAAAACAACAAACTTCACAACCTTGTCATGGCTAGAAGAACTAGAACCTATAACAACGTAGTTGTTCTTCTGTACTCTAACCTATTGATCTTCTTCGTTCCTATTGTCATCTCCCTCAGAAGCCTCACTCCAGACAAATCCATCAACTATAACGACTACCTAGTTTCCGAAACCGGAAACTTCGAAGCAGGGTTCACCAACATAGAGAATTCACAGAACATATACTTTTGTATATGGTACAAGAATCTAAACCCAAGAACAATTGTTTGGGTAGCCAATAGAGATACACCACTGCAAAACTCAACAGGAGTATTCAATTTCAAACTCAAACTCACTGATACAGGAAATCCAGCCATAGTTGATGGCTCAGAGAACACAATTTGGTTCTCTAATGCATCAACAGTTGTAGAGAATCCGTTTCTATTGCTCTTGGACACCGGAAACATCATCGTACGAAACGGAAGTTTAAAAGACGTTTGGTGGCAAAGCTTTGATTATCCTGGTGACACTTTATTACCCGGGATGATACTTCGAACTGATAGAATCAGCGGCGCGCATAATTCTTTGATATCGTGGAAAAACACAGGTGATCCTGCAAGAGGTGAGTTTTCATATCATATAGATTCTAATGGTTTTCCTCAATTGTTTATTTCGAAGGGATCAGTGTTAGTTTATAGATTAGGCCCATGGAATGGATTTTTCTTTACTGGGATTCCTTGGGAAACACTCTATAGTTATTTCAATTTTTCTTTTGAGATAACTGAGAAACAAGTTGCATTTAAATATGAACCGTTAAACGACACGATTGTTTCGAGATACCTTATCACTCCGACCGGCTTCGTGCAACGTTACATTTGGTTATATCAGACTGAAACTTGGCAACTTTTTCTTGCTGGCCCTGGGGACCAGTGTGAGAATTATAACATCTGTGGTGCAAATTCTGATTGTAATGTGGGGAACCAAGAGGTATGCAAGTGTCTCGTTGGTTTCGCACCTAAATCGTTCAATGATACCGATGGGTGTGTTAGGAAGGTGAAACTGGATTGTGATGATAGAGACGGATTTGTTAAGTATACAAAGATGAAGTTGCCGGATACGTCTTGGTCGTGGTTTGATGAGAAAATGAATCTTGTGGAATGTGAGAAACAATGCCTGAAAAACTGCAGTTGCATAGCTTATGCAAGTTTGAATATTAAAAATGGTGGAAGTGGATGCATCATTTGGTTCAATAACATTATTGACATGAGGACCGAAATCTCTGTTGGGCAAGAGATTTACATAAGAGTGGCTGCTTCAGAATTAGGTACTTTTCTTCTTGTTTTTTAGTATTCATAGAATCATAAATATAAATATTTTTAGTAAGTGTTTGGATTCGCGTTCCTCATGCCTTTTCTCGCGTCCCAATACTTGTTTGACGTGAAAATTGAAGAAGCTACAAATAGTAGCTTTGCTTGCACACACATAAAAAGTCTTTTTGACGCGGTTCCAAACACATTATTAGTCTTTAGGTGTTCTGTTGATAATATCTCATGTAGTTCAACGAATAACAGAGAAGAAAATGATAGCAGGTAGTCCAACGAGTAAGACAAAGAAGAAAATGATAACAGGTATTTTAGTAGGAATAGGAGTCTTTTTCTTGAGTATCATGACGGTTGGATATGTCATCTTTCTAAAGAGGAAAAAACTTCAGATATCAGGTGAATTTTTAGACTTTTTCTTTTCTGTTATATTTTGAATTTCTTAAGTATTTTTTCACTTGTTATATAAATCAACAATCATAAACAATGTAACATTTCAGCTAGGAACACAACAATAAACCATGAAGATAACATGGATCATGAGAAGGGAAGCATTGATATATCAACTTTTGATTTTTCTACCATAGCTAATGCCACTGACAACTTCTCTCCCATTAAGAAATTGGGAGAAGGTGGATATGGTCCTGTCTACAAGGTGACATGATTAGGACTTTTTTAATTATTTTTATATAATGGTTAATCCACTATCTCTATGATTTTTATATTTCTAGTTAACGAATGATCAACAGGGTGTACTAGCAAATGGTAGAGAGATTGCGGTCAAGCGACTTTCGATTAAATCTGTACAAGGGCCACGGGAGTTTCAAAATGAAGTTATATTGATTGCAAATCTTCAGCATAGAAATCTTGTGAAACTCATTGGTTGTTGTATTCATAATGATGAAAGAATTTTGATTTATGAATACATGCCTAACAGAAGTCTGGACAACTTTATTTTCGGTACGAGTTTTTCTTATATTATCTAAATTCATATAAGTTCTTCTCCATGCTAACTTTTATGTGGAATTTGTCAGATCGGACTAAAAGTCAGGTATTGGATTGGAATACACGTTTTCATATTATAAGCGGTATTGCACGAGGACTTTTGTATCTTCACCAAGATTCTAGAGTAAGGATCATCCATAGAGATCTAAAAACCAGTAATATTCTTCTTGATAACGACATGAACCCAAAAATATCGGACTTTGGACTCGCTAGAGCTTTTGGTGGAGATCATGATGAGGCCAATACAGTTAGAGTAGTGGGTACTCAGTAAGAAATTCAAAACTTGATTTACTTAATTGATGTAATTCATAATATTTATTTTTCCTTGATTCGCTTTTTTTTTTAATATGTTGCAGTGGTTACATGCCTCCAGAGTATGCTGTATATGGATCTTTTTCAGTGAAGTCTGATGTCTTCAGTTTCGGTGTTATTGTTCTAGAAATCATAAGTGGGAGGAAGAGCAGAGAATTTTTCAACCCGGAACATAATCTTAACCTTATTGGACATGTAAGAACACCTAAATGGTTTCCTATAATTTACCTTTGTCTAATAATCATAGGTTATGTGCACTAAGCTTCATTTTTTTTACTTAAGCCCATAATTGATATCTATGTTTGTTTCTTAGGCTTGGAGACTGTGGAGTGAGGATAAACAATTGGAGCTGATAGATGAGTCCCTTAAAGGTTCAGTTATCATGGACGAGGCATTAAAATGTATTCACATTGGGCTGCTAAGTGTGCAAGATAGGGCAGATGATAGGCCTGAAATGTCATCTGTTGTTCTAATGATGAATGGGGAGAGAGCACTGCCTAATCCAAGGCAGCCCGGGTTTTATCCTCACGAAGTTGTTTCTTACTCAAGCAAACAAGAATTGTCATCAACAAATGAAATTTCTATTTCATTGTTACATCCAAGATAATCATGATCTGTTTATAATTAAATGAGAAGGTGCAAATATTTACCACAAAACTTTTGGTGTTAGTTCAGCCGTAAGAGTTTATAATTGCAGTACAAGTCACTCTGTATTGTGCCATTTACAGGACTTTCTATTGTAGGTTGTGAGTTTTGTGCTGTTAGAGTTAGTTAGGATCTGCACATACTATAAAGGAAGCTTGTAACTAACTTGTAAATCATCAATTCCACTTTAATCAATTTGAGCTTGTTAGCTTTTTTTCCTCTATTTTGTTGCAATTCTTCTTTTACATGAAGGACTTCATGATGATATCAAAGCTATTTTTAGCTCTGCTGCATATCATTCATCATGGTTTGGGGTGTCACTAATGTAGTTAATCCTTCGGTGGCAGATTCCTCTCAAATCCATGACAATGCATTCTACATTCATGTATCTGATGGACCTTCTACTATTGTGGGTAAACCAGTCCTCAATCATTCAAATTGTCATGTTTGAGATCGATCAATGAGACAGACATTTGAAGGTAAGACCAAGGTTGATTTTGTTGATGGATTTATTGTCATTCCTACTGAATTCGATCCAAACATTAAGGCCTGGAATCATTGCTACATGTTAATCCATTCTTGGATTTTGAATTCAGTAGATGATTTAATTGCTCAAAGCATTGCGCTCCTTGAAAATTCTATTGATGTATATAATGAACTCAAAGAACGATTCTCAAGGAAATTACATTCAAATTTGTGAACTACAATACGAGATCTTTGGCTTGAAACAAGATTCGAGATTTGTTTCTTAATTTTCAGTGCTCTCAAGACTCTATGAGAGGAACTTGAAGCTTATTTACCTACACATGTTTGTTCATGTCCTCATCTATGTGTATGCACAACTGACATTAGAAATGTGAAGAATCACCATGAAATACTCATTCCATTAATTGTTGACCGGGTGGAGTTATCATTTTGATCTCTTGTGCGTTCAAATTTTATTGATGAATCCTTTACCAACCATTAACAAAATTTTCTCTATGGTTTTGCAACATGAAAAACAATACAATGCAGTTCATTGTGATGAGTCTAAAGTGCTTATTTATGCTAGTGACGTACGTAGATTTCAAGGTAAAATGCGTGGTTCTTCCTTTAGTTCAGGGAATAGTTCAAACACCTTTGGTTAAAAGAGAAAAAAAAGTGCTCTCATTTTGGAAGGATTGGACACACTAATGACAATTGTTGTATAAAACATGGTTTTCCCCCCAACTATAACAAAAATTATTCAGCAAACAATACTTATCTTGAATCCATGGAGGAGAGGGAAGATATTGATCAATCCAGGAGTATTAAAGGAAGTGATTCTTATACTTTCACCAAGGACCAATATGAGAAACTTGTCAATCTGCTACAAAATTCCCCTTCTCATAATCAACATGTTTCAGCTAATAAGGTGAATGTAGCAAATCATATTAGTAGCCACATTATTTAAGGTATCACTAAGTTCTATGTTAGGTTCATGGATTGTTGACTCTGGCGCTAGTGATCACATACGTTCATCCTTGAAACATTTCAATTAATATAACGATATTACTCCCATATATGTTAAAATTCCAAATGGTCATGTGTCAATAGACAAACATGCAGGAAATGTGCAATTTTCTGATGGTTTGACCATATATGATGTGTTATTTATTGTTGATTTCAACTTAAATTTGATTTCTCTTCCTAAAATTTTCCTTGATAGTAATTGCACTATTACATTTGATCATGACAAATGTTGAAAACATGAAAAGAAGACCTTAAAGATGATTAGTTTGACTGAATTTATAGAGGGAATTATTATCTAACCATACATGACATACTAGTTACTATTACCACATCTCAAGCCAACTCCTCCACATTCATTCCTAAAGAAGTTCTTTGGTGTTTCAGGCTAGGTCACCTTTCCAATGCTAGAATTTTAAATTTGCATAACATCATTCCTTAAATGTTCACCATAATTTTATTTGTAATATATGTCATGCTAGACATATAAAGTTGAACGTCTCTCTTAGTAACACTAAAGCTGGAAAAATGCTATGAATTGTCTCATTTTGACATTTGGGGCCTCATCTCTATTCCTTTTTGTCCATGGCCATAAATATTTTTTAACTTCTTTAGATGATCATAATAGATTACTTGGATCATTTTGAGCAAATCCAAATATGAAATACATAACCTTTTGTTCAAATATTTGTAACAATGATTAAAACACAATACCTTTGTCATTTCAAAATTATTAGAAGTGGTAATGGACCCGAGTTTTTAATGCCTAATTTCTATGCATCCAAATGGATAGAACATCAAACTAATTGTATTGAGACTCCCCAACAAAATGGCCTTGTTGAAAGAAAGAATCAACATTTCTTAAATGTTGAAAGATCATTTATTTTCCAATCCAAATCGCCTACACAATACTAGTCCTATACAGTCTTGCAAGCCACTTACATCATTAATAAAAATTTCAGTCAAACCATGCAAACAAGTCACCTTTGTTTTCATAGATTTGTCATCACCTTGGCCGAAATGAACTCAAATTTTATTGGATCCTTATGTTATGCTTCTACCATTCAAAAACATAGTACAAAATTGAATGTTAGAGCTTGAAAGTTTTCTTAGTGAGTGTTGGCTGAAGATTTTGATAATATTATTAGAAGCCAAATGAATTAAACGTTTCGATCGAAATGAAGCAAAGCGTCATGTTTCGAAGTAGCAGAAGCAGTGTTTCGAATAAGCATGTCAAAGCTGGAGCTTCGAGTGGCAATTATGGGAACATATCTAAAGAAGTCTCGAAATAACAACAAGGCTGTGTCTGGGAAGTGCGTTCGAAACGGAGAAGTACCAAAACATTTGAAATTCAAATGGAAGCGGGACATTCGAAGTTTGAAATTTATGTGCTGGAGCATTTGGAGACACGTGGAAAGAAGAAAGAGGCATTGTTCTGCATGTTCTGAACGTGGCATAATCCTATAGCAAGACCGTTATGGTCGAATTAGTATAAATAGAAGTCTTAGTATTAGGATTTCGTGTGTCATATCTATTGTACTAAATACTCAGTAACATTTAAACTACCACATGGCAAGGGAAACGAATGCAAGAGCAATGTACGTATGATAGCACCATATATTTATGATTTAATGAAAACCTTTTACCATTTCCAGCACTTTCCTTTATCTTTCTGTCAAATAACATTTATAAGTTTTCTCATTTACAGTCTTTTCACTTCGAAATCTCTTCATTAAAGTTTTATATTTCAATGCTTTCTTCACATTTCAAGCACTTTACATTTCAGAAAACTGTCATACTTTCCATGCCTTTACCTTCAAGCTTTATCCTTCGAACGCCTATTTTTACTTAAAGTCATTTACAGATTTCTTGCATTAAACGCTTTCTTCATATTTCAAACCTTTTATGTTCCAGAAATCCTTTACATTAACTGTTTTTATAATTCGAAACCATTTACTTGTCTTTTATGCAATTTTACATGTCTTTACAATTAACATTTATTCATGCAACTTAGTTTCGTACACGCACATTTTGATTACATCTTTAGACCTTTAAGAGAGAAATCGAAATAAGCCAAACACCTATACAACACTCAAATATCAACCATGAATATTTGTTCGATCATGAGAGTTACCCTAATGACCAAAGAATCCTAGGATCAATCTAGTCGATCCTGTGAGTTACCAGAGGAATTGAATAACAGTCAGAAAGATTATTCGATAGTTTGGAAGACTAGCGGTTGTTTACCAGAAATCACTGGAAACAGTGAGATACAAGCAAGGTGTCAAAGAATATGTTTTACTTGACAAAAAAACCAAAACCATTTTTATTCTAGACATGTAACTTGTTATGAAAAAGTCTTATCTTATCATAATCTAAATCCACCCTTTCGTTGTAATTACCAATCCACTCATCCCACTCTTACCAGTCCTGATATTGTGACTGGTAATGAACCTAACCATGAACTTGTTTTATCAAACATTATCATTAAAATGATGCCTCATATAAATTTCACACAAGATGAACTTCCCTTAGACAATTCTGATCAAATTAACACTACTATAAAACGCATAAACAACAACGCCATAGTCACCACGATTCTTCCCTATATTGTGGTGACATCTTTAAACTAAGGAGCTACTATATTATTTTTCTTTTTTTGATTAAGAATTATATGTATATAACAACGGTTGAGGAGCCAACCGTGATGATACTATCAAGCTTTCATGGGTTCGAACCTCAGCACCCTCAACCAACCGTGGTGATACTATCAAGCTTTAATGTTAAGGAGCACCTTTTCTTTTTTATTTATTTTTAAATAAAAAATTTAAAGGGTTATGACTACGGTTGATATGTTTCACTGTTGTGACACATTTATATATAAAGGTATTCTTATTCTACAGTATAGTCGTCAATCTTGTTCTTCTTACATAAAGGTATTCTTCTTTTTCCATATTCTATCGTTTTCGTGTATTGTTGTTATGTTTCACATGATTTTCCTATAATTTTCTTCTTGTTAGATAGTTTATTCTTCTTTTATGGTTGTATGTTGTTCTATGTTGTTGTTGTATGTTGTTGTTTCATGTTGTGTTGTTGACAAATAAGCTTGCGGTTTCACATGTTGATAATATTCATGATGTTTGTAAGATTCAAGAAACAACAACAACAACAACAAACTTCATCTAGTTTGAGAAGCTATGAGAAGAAATATAAGAAGTATGATGCTATTGTATAAACTTCATCCATCTTATATTTCTTTCTCATGGCTTCACAAACTAGCCGAACCTCATATGGTGATGATGATGGTGGTAGCAAGCGTATAATATGAGTTGATAATGTACATATGGTTTGTGCAGCAATAGAGAAAAATACAAGAAGTATGAAGTCATTGTGGAAACTTCATACACCTTGTATTTCTTCCTCATTGCTTCACAAACTAGAAGAAGTTTATAGTTCCACTATTATTTTTAATAA